GGTTGTTGCCATTCGTAATGGATTGCTTGTGACAAGCATTGTCATCATTGAAGACTTATAGCTCATGAATTAAAAAAAAAAAGAACCTAAGAACAGACGAGGAGGTCGCAGTCTTATAGGTATGTAGACCTGGCATAGCTGCGTAAATTGCTCAACATCCTTTTACCTCATCGTTTGAGGGGAAAGCAACCCTAGGCGGAAGCCACCCTAGCCGGTACATAACTGAGGTGTCGTCAAAAGTGTCATTGGAGACATTTCTCGCTACAACTGTAGGGACGGGTATATGTATGCATCACGGACGTTACAATTCCCGTTACCGGTGGACCATTCCGGGGGCCATCCAAGCAGATCTCTCTAGATCGGACGTATATCCTGCCGGCTCGGGGTTTTTGGACAGTCCGTCACCTATCAGAACTCGCCGTTTTGTTTTTTTTTGCTATCTGGATAGGAGACATAGATATGTTTCCGTCAAGTCGGCAGATGAGATAGTAGAGATTTGTAGAGATCTATAGCATAGTTGGCGCCCCGCTAATACTGTGACACAAACATCGATGCTAGATACCTAGGGTGACATTCAGATGACCACTTGAGCTTACTCACAAACCATTTCTTCCCAAACGGGATAGTATATATATATATATATGTATATATGTATATATATGGGCATCTCTTCATCATCAGATGGTTAGGTATGTTGAGTTCCACAAATTTGTTAAGGTAGGTCTGTCGCACCTTCTCACGTTGACCAGATCAGGTCGGCCATCGGCACATATGAAATACCTATCTAGGCACCAAAATGGCAGTTGCACCTTCCATGTTACCTCATGTCGAGGATTCACCTGTGGCTCGTTGCTTCCCCCTCAGGCGGGCAGTCACCATGGACGGTCCCGAACCCGGAAGAAGTCAGCTGTCTTTTGTTGTCGTTTGCTGTCGTTTGCTGTCCTCTTCTCACGACAACTTCATCATCACCCATTTCGGGGACCTGGTCTCCTACCCCCGTCTTTCTCTATGTCTTGGACACACAACGTTCAGCAATAGCTCTGCCGAGCCCCGAAGCGATTGATTGATTACGGTATCGATCTATGACTCGGGCTTTTTTTGGTGCTGGAGAGGTTCCAGGTTTATCATGGAGCCGCCCATACACATCACGCGGCGGTCCCGAAGCCACGGCGCTCTCAACAGAAGCTATTCGAGTACATCCGCTTCCGATTCGTCTCGTCTCCATCGACCACGTCGTGCCCATTCCCGTCAGCAGCTGCGCAGCGTCAACGAGAACTCATCTCTACTCGTGTCCCCAGGTCCCCTGGAGAGCATGCTCAAGACCACCACCGAGACGGGGGATATCGGTTTGTTCTCCATCAGACCAGCTCGCTCGTCAGGGAATTTGCAAGCTTCTTCACCCCGTCGGAGACCAGCTTATGGCGGAACACCGCTCAACAGACGTCCCAATGGCGATGGGATGAGGAGTTATAGTCTCCGGGACGACCGAAGATGGCTACCATCATATCGAGACACCACATCCGAGATCATCTCCATGTACGGATCCGATAGCCGGTACTCTGCCTCCGCCTCAAGCGCACTTACACGCCCATGTGACGACATGGGAGATAGGTCTTACTCCATGACAACGTGTAGCTCACACCGCCCGCCGAGTCAAAAAACATCAGGGGACCTCCAGAGCCAGCAGCAGGAAGGCTATCTCCAGAGGCCTCGCTCTCCCTACCCATACCCAACGAGGCTTAAACGGCCAGGGGTTCGGCCCGCTTCACCAGCCTTGACGGAGAATGGGGCCGTCGATTATAGTAAAATGGTTGGGATTGATAGGGTGTCTCTCGTGAGTCTATGTCATTTGCTATGTCGACTATTCTGACCATGTCCAGCGCACCGTTCACGGTTCGTACAAGCCGACCTATCCTCAGTATGGCAATCGACAAGTACCGCGGCTTCGCCAGGATGGCACCAGCTCAAGTGAATCGTTTTCGAGTTACGCTGCGGCCGAGAAGCATAGTCTTTCTGCCGGCCTGCCCCTGTCCCCCGCTCCGTGGGGCCATCGTTACCGCGGTCGTCTTGGGAGCAGCGCATCTGAACACAGCCTTAGGACTTCTAGTTTAACATCGATTCTTAACATGTACCAACGTTCGACGTGTGGGCCACCGACCCGGGACCCGTCTCTTCGCGTGAAACCACCGGGCACCTTCTATTACGATTACTCGGAAGGTTTCGATTACACGAATGATAGCCCTCCGCCGTTACCTGACCTTCCCTCTGACATTGTAACCCGCTCCACGAGTGTTTGTCAGTCGCGGGATATGGATAATGTCGTCAAGCATCACTGCCCGCCTTCCGGGCCAACACTGCGCTCCGAGGAAGACATCCCAAGCCTTGGGACGCAAGCCCGGAATTCGGAGGAACTCGATTCGCAAAGCCGAGAAGATCAACTTAGCCCTCAAGACACACCAAGGCAGAAGCCCCAGAACGAAGAATCCAATGCTGATAGTCTGGACGAGGACAGCTCTCGGTTCGATGCTGAGCGTTCTCCTTTTTCGCACTCACGAAGATACGAAGAAGAAGAATGGAGTGTCGGTACAGCAGTCGTTCGTCGACGACAAAACACGAGTCTGACCGTCAGGAGTGACTTGCAGTTCTCAACACCGAAAGCTGTGCGAGTTTCTACCACTAGAAGCTATGAAGAGAATATGCGGCGCCTGGCAGTTTCTCCCCCTAAGCTGGGTCCCTTGGCAGACTACACTCACAGTTCCTCACCGGCCCATTATCGTCAGAGGAGAGCTGTATCCTCACCGCTCAGAGTTCAGACGCGGCGAAACACGACCTATCCAAGAGGTTTCGGTCACTGCGGGCTTGCATCAATGGAAGAGTCGTCGGATGGAATCGTCGGCACAGATGCACAGGATGAGTTTGCGACATCAGAAGACGGCATGGGCCGTTCAAATACGTATCTCTCGAGTCTGCCAGCCGCGGAAACGGGTGGTCATTTTCTTCGGCCTTTACATGTGGACGACCCAGCATCCCGAGGCCACAAAAGAAATCTTGCGATGCACACGATAAACACCAACGACCTGCGGAATCTGACCGAGGCTGAAATCGGCTCGATCGTTGACCGCTCCCGAACGCCCATGTTGGCACCACATCCCATCTCGCCAGCGAGGCAACTCCGGCTACAGAACAGCGTGCCGCAGCTCATGAAGGCCTTGCCTCGGTCGCCGGGTATTCCTGTTCGAAGCGAATCTTGTTTCGCCAACTTTTACAGTCAAGATCTCGAATACACAACGGGCTTTTCTACCCTTGATCCTTCTAGCTTCGGTGTCGAGCAACCAACTATGGTTGACCCCATGTTTCCATACGGCTCAGATCAACAAGAGCCAAAGTTCAAGACGCCGTCTTCGCCGTTGGCTTCTGCCGTGGTTCCAGAAGAGCTAGGAGATGATGGAGTATATGCTGATTCGAGAGAGAAGCCAAGGCGCTCGGGCTCACGAAACAGTTCGCGAAATAGTAAGCTGAAGCTCAAGGTTTCCCGAGGTGCTCTCAGCAAAATGCATGCGGAAGGCATCGGAGGCAGGAGAAACACGGCCGCTGGGCCAGCAGGAGAATGGTCTGGACCACATCCCAAACCACGGGGTCGGCCTTCCAGACACCACATGAATCCAGGGGTAACAAACATGGACAGCCTGGTAGAGTCAGCCGCAGAAGCCGAGAAGACTGACACATGCGATCAAGAGGTTGCTTTCCTCGACAGCCCTGGTTCAAGCATTCCGGCGCCTGCAATACCAGACTCTCACCAAGATGATGTTGGCGATAAGTCATCACCGGCCACACAGGGTCCTAGGGAAGTGACTAGTCCAACGGCTCGGAGTGAGGCGCGGAGCTCACTTTCACACGACAGCTGCGTCAGTGGGCAATCGCCCCGAGGGCTGAAGAAACGCTTCCCGGATTTACGAGTTCGCCTGGCGGAGTCCCGGTTGAGGTCGGCCGAAACACTGACTCCAGACGGGAGGATAGGGGAGGTGATTGAGGTGGTCCTTACTCCTCCTGTCGAGGCACCCATGTCGGAGTCTGGGCATGGCTCCAAGGTGAATCTGACGACGAAAGATGGAGATGGTGATAACAACGCCAGTGATGAGGGAGCTGCTGGGAAGCATCAAGGAAAAGGGTTCAGGGGGAGGATGTCGAGATGGTTCAAGGCTGCGAGGCAGGTGGTTATGGGGGCCTGTAGTGGGTCGGGGAAACGAGGTTGATGGTTGGAGTTTTTTTTTTGGGGGGGGGGGGGGGGGTGGTTAAGGCTTGGTTTGGCTATTGATGTAATACATGTCATGTGCTGGCCTGGCCTTAGTTTGGTCATTTCACTCGTTTGGTGTTGGGGTTTTATGGTTTCTGTAGCAGGTGTTGATGATACCAGGCTGTTGACAGGGACCGGGTGGTGTTTAAGGGGGATGTCTGGTGAATGGGAGGGCTGTTAGATTACTCAAAGAGGGAGAACTGAGTTTTTTCTTATGATTTTTGGCATTGTTGCAGTTTCCGTTTCTAAACTTTTGAGGTGACGATTGTTCCCTAGGCTAGCCAGTTGCTCTTCCCTCGCTCGATACTCGTCAGCGGCGGCCAGTCCGGACTGCCAAATGTCCGCTACTGTCCAACGGTCGACACTACCCCCTCTCGTGCCAAGGGTGGGCTTGGGCAAGCAGAGAATAGAGTTTTGTCCTTGTCCCATCCACCTCTTGTTTGTTTGACTTTGTCTGATAACGCCGACGAGCAGGCATTCTTTTTTTATTTTTTATTTTTTGCTTTGGGGTGGATGGATGTATTTGTTATTTTCGAATTCATCTTACATGCCGTCAACGTCGTAGCCTTTTTGATTGAGGTTGCTGTCGTTGTGGACGGGGTGTTGGGGGGTTGATGGGATACAATCGATGATCACGACATTTTCTTCTTCTTCTTCTTTTTTTTCTTTTCTTTTTCGATTGAAGGATTTGATGTGTTTTTGACGACGAGCATCAAAACGCCAGTTTTCGACAGATGATTTCTCGCTCGGGACCCTTCTGACCTCGACCACATCTTCATTATCACGCGATGGAACACACGTTAGACCACCACCACAGTAAGGGGAAGGGGAAAATACACGACATGGCAACGGACGGGAACGGTGCTACCACCACAACCGCGCAAGAATTCCCTCTCCGTCGAAGATCAAAACCGCCGCTTAAACCCGACGAGCCGGGGGAGGGGAGCGGGTCGAGGACGCCGCCTCCTGGGGATGAGGATGCTGAGGTGGTGGGTGGGGGGTCTGTTAGGTACATTTCTGATTTGGACGGGGGGGACAGCAGGGGGGTGGTTGATGAGGGAGGGAAAGAAAGAAAAAGGGGGGGCGGGTTGAGGGAAAGGTTTAGGGAGTGGGGGAGGAGGTTGAGGTTGATTTGTGGGAGGAGGGGGGGGAGGAGAAGAAGGAAAGGGGTTGACAAAGGGAAGGGGAGGATGGTGGCGACAGAAGGGGAGGGGGATCAAGAGGGGGATGGGGTGGTGGTGGTGGAGGTGGGGGGGCGGGAGGAAGAAGGAGAGGAAGAGGAAGAGGAAGAGGAAGAAGAAGGGATGTATAACACGTTGCCGCGGCCGCTGTCGTCGAATCCGGTGAGCGGGTTGGGTGAGACGCACCCTGCTCTGAGGCCGGGGGTGCCGGGGGAGGGGGTTGACTTTTTTGATAACCCTCCTCCGAATACACAGGATCAACAGCTGGCGACGGTGAGAGAGGTGATGGGGTCAGGGCCGAGGAGGTTTGCTCCCGCTCCTGTTGTTATGACGGCGACGACGACGCCTGCTTTACCGCGACTACATGATCCCTCCTCCTCTATCTCGCAACATGGTGGGTTTGATCATCACCGACAACAACACCAACACCAACCGGTAATCATCCACTCGCCGCACCCCATCGCCGACACGTATACCCACGAGGAGGATTGGGCGCGTGTTCACCAGGCCAGGGCGAGTCAGCATCTTGCTCCACGACCGTTGTTGTCACAGCATCAGCAGCAAACAATCATGATACCGGAACGGCACTCGAGCAAGTGGAGAGCGAGGAGTTTTTACTCTGGTAGCTTCAGGACCCGGTCGCAGTGCGGGAGCTTTGACAGCAGGACGAGCTGGAACCCGTTTGATTTGCCGGGGCCGCCGAAGAGGACGCTGATGAGCGATATGGAGAGTTTGTTGGGCGGGAGGGGGGGGGGTGTTGGGGGGAGGAGGTCGCAGGGGAGTAGTAGTATGGGGCAGAGGCAGGGGGGCAGTAGTTTTCCTTGGCCACCGACTAATTCGGTGAAGACGGGGAGGAGCAGTACGATTGAGCAGCCTGATTCGGCGGTTGGTGGGGTGGGGTTGAGGGGGGATGATGAGGATGGGTTTATGCGCGGTGATGCTGCGAACAAGACTGTTGTCTCGTCTCACACGCCAACCCCGATGTCTGTTCGGAGTCCCCCGACGGCGACAAAGACTACGCTCGGGAGGGATCCGTCAAGGAAAACGGATGGGTCTAATACTGGGATGACGTCGTGGAGTGGGACGGGGAGCGAGACGGTGAACGACGCGGTGCTTGGTAGACTAGGAGAGCAGAGGAGAAAGAGTGGTGGGGCGGGGAGGCGAGACGAGGACGAGGAGGAAGTCGAGAGGACGGGAGTGAAGGATGGGGCGGAGACTTCTACTGGCGAGGCCGGGGTTGAGGGGGGGAGGCTGGGGAGGGGGAGGAAGGTTTGTTAGGGACAGTTACCCGAGAGGTGGAGGGATTCGGCGTATGAGAAGTAATGGATGGGTAGTCTTTTCTGGAGATTAAAGCTCTCTTTGGTCAGGGGGGTCGTTGGTTTGGAATTGTTTGTTTGGATTCGGTTCAGGGTTGAATAGGGGGTGTTGAATAGGGGGTGTTGAATAGGGGGTGTTGAACAGCGGAGTATGCAGAGCAGCGTCGAATACCTAATAAGGACTTGGCTACAGCAGGCAGGTTGTTAGATAGATGTAGTATAATATTATATAGCTAATGATTTTCCTTTCTACACGTTTGTGTTTCTGTCTTGCCGGGTATGTTGGTGTTGAGTTATTACTAGTATACCACCCCCCCCCTATATTCACTCCTGAAACTATGTATTAACGACTCCCTGCCTATTTATATCCTCCAACTCCATGTCATCATTTGCCAACCCTACAGACAAAATTCTAGAATACCCCACCCCCAATAATAAAAACCCTCGCCTCCTCCCTCCCAACCCACTTGACCACCCGATTCGCCGCCTCCGTCATCGCTTGCCTGCTCACATTCGGCCCCGCGACGCAGTAAAACTCAAACAAGGGCGTCACCCACCCCAAACTGGCGCAGTCCCCGCCCACAGAGTAAATGACCTTGAGGTGGGAGTGTTTCGCGTGCATAGCCGCGTGCAGTGTTTGGTACTGGGACATGAGTTTGCGTCTTGCCATCGGGGATGTGAACAACGGGTGGAGCGAGCTCATGACGAACTGGACGTTGGGGCGGGATTTGTAGATGAAGTGGGATATCGGTGGGGGGTTGCTGCCGGGGAGGATGGAGGATATGGATGGTCGTGGGCTGGCGAGGGATGATCGGATGAGGGAGAGGTGGGTGGATTTGGTGAGGGAGTTGTATAGTGAGGTACGGAGGGAGGAGAAGGGGAAGAAGGATTCCCTGTCCGGGGAGATGAGGATGAGGGCGATCTCCTGGGGGGATTCTGGCTGCGGGGGAGGGGGCGGTGGTGGCTGTGGTGGTGGAGAGCCTTCCTCTGGTATTGTCGGGGTGCTGCTGGAGGTAGGCTTTGTTGTTGATGATGGCTTTGGCTGGGTTTCGTTGCCGTCTTCGTCGAAGAAGGAGACGTACATGTAGAGGTAGCCGCTGTTGTTGAACGCAGGGAGACAGATAGGGATCCAGGATTCGCCGCCGCCGGATTTGATGCTGCCTGATTCGAAGAGCATGTTGAAGATCAGTTGGAGGTCGCTGGGGTGGAGGGAGTGTTTTCGTGGGCGGATGACCGAGACGAGTTTTCCGCCTGCGACTATGAGACCATATAAGAGCTTTTCGGCGCGGTTCTTGAGAAAGATATTGTTGATGGCGTGGCGTTGGGATTTCCGGAGCTTGAGGCATTCCAGTGCCCCGAGAAGAGCGGTGGGGGAGCCTTTGGTGAAGCTATCGGCGAGTGAGGATAATAGCGTTTCCGTTCCCTCCAGAGGCTTTCTCAGATCGGTGGAGGGACGGTGGACAAATATGTTTTTGAGGGTGGGAAGAGTCAAGGTTGAAAGAATTTGCATGTACAGAGCCTCGAGCTGGCCTCGCAGTTGAGAATCGCTTTCTCCAAGTTTGCTGATGGCCACAAAGTAGAGTGGCCCAGCAGTCAAAACGACAAAGCGTGCCTTGCCAGCGGTAAAGCCCATGAGCGGATCTTTGGCTCCTTCGTAAAACGATATAATGGTCTGTATGACGCCCATGGATGAGTTGATCAGACTTAAATCACCGTGTCGACTCCATATTGGTTTTCCGGCAGACGACAAAATCAGATAGTGCTTCATCTTGGACTGCCACATGGACAGCCTCACGTCGTCGGTCAAGTTTTCTGGGATGTTGTCAAATTCTTTCTCGAATCCAGACAGTTCACTAGAGTCACCAGACTCAATGGCTTCGAAGGGCTGGACAGTTTCTGACTGAGATCGCAAAAGGTTCCAAGCGCGGCTCTTCCTGTTAAACTCGCCGGCTACGAGGCTGGCAAGATCGCCAGGGGCACGAACTGTGGGCGCGAGGCTCATGACACTCATGGAATCGGTGAGATTGTCGCCTGATGAATCTCGCGACGGGGTTCCATATCCGCTGTTTAGTGGTGAAGGCCCGCTTCCCACCGAAGGCGTTGGGAATGTTCCCCTGGTTCCATCTGGGAAAGAGAGGGTTGAGATGTCGATTGACGAGACCGCTGTCGTCGGCTTTGACTGTAACTGTCCTCCTACTTGCAGTGGTGCTTCGCCCGATACCTTTCGGCGAGGGGGTAGTGGCGGCGGCGGCGGCGATGGTGATGGTGATGGTGGTGATGGCGATGAGACAGCATTGCCCTCCTCTGTTTCTTGAGCCATTATCCTCCCGCTCGTGTATGTGGCCGATGGAACATCAACAATGCCTCTCTCATGATAATCCTCCTGGCGCTGCAACCAGGAAGATGTCTCTTGACGCCGTGTCGCGCTAGGATGGTAGGACGTTGGACATCTGGGGACAATGCTTGACACTATGGGAGATGGGGCCGAATGACGACAGCGGAGAGAGGTCGCATGGCCGCTAATGCAACGCCAAGATGACAGGCATGGCCGATAAGATAGCGTCTCAGCCTTGCTGATACGCTGTAGCTAGGGTCAAGCTCCCGGGTGATACGCCAAGCACAGGTGCTGACGTTGCCGGATTGGTGGGCTTCAGGCAACACAAAGCAACTGCACGCCGTGATCTCGTACCTGACACCGAGGCCACGCAGTACATTGCCCTGCCCTGCGCGGATAGCTCTACTTCACCATACCGACCGGAACACACGCCGGCAATGAATCAACCATAGTGCACACTACACACCAGGGAACACCCCGAGATATTCCAATGGCGGCAGAAAACGGTCGCCGCTCCGTCTCCCCCGAGAGCTCTGGCCGCGATTCGCCAGTGCCGCGACAGTGGAGGAACCAGCTGGGGAGTGGTACATATATCTCGAGGAACACATCTAGTTGAAGCTCAGATTGCTAATGATGCCAAACCCCCGCTTGCAGAAGATGCGCCGCCGAAAGACAAACACTACCGCAAGTACGCCAATGGCATCGACCGAGCCCTCTCCCTCTTCGAGACGGCCCTGCAGGAATGGGCCGACTACATCTCATTCCTCAACCGCCTGCTCAAGGTGCGAATACCATGATTAAAACCTACAATAATATCTGGGACCGTCACTCATTTGCGACAACAGGCTCTCCAAGCACGATCCTCAAGCATCACCACCATCCCCGCCAAGGCCACCGTAGCAAAGCGTCTGTCGCAATGTCTGAACCCCTCGCTGCCCTCGGGCGTACACCAAAAGGCCCTCGAGGTCTACAACTACGTCTTTACTGTAATGGGTAAAGATGGCCTGTCAAAAGACCTCCCGTTGTACCTCCCCGGCCTGGCCTCGGTCCTCTCGTTCGCTTCGCTTTCCGTTCGTGCCCCGTTCCTTGACCTCCTCGAGCGCCACTTTCTGCATGTCCACCCTCGTTCGTTACGCCCCGCCATGAAATCAATTGTGCTGGCACTATTACCTGGCCTGGAGGAGGAAACCAGCGAGGACTTTGAGAGGACTTTGAAGCTACTAGAGCGCTTCAAGGTCGCGATTCGTCCGCCTGAAAGTCAGGCAATCACACCGGCGCATTCCACCGGCGATGACTTCTTCTGGCAGTGCTTCTTCCTAGCATCCATCACGGGCCACAGCAGGAGGACCGGCGCACTGGCATACTTGTCGCGCCTGCTCCCAAGACTGGGCACCTCAGTAACACCTGAAGCGAACAAGTCCGAAGGTGACTCTGAATCGGCAGCAAAGCTCTCTCAGCTTGTCACATCTCCTGAGCCAGGGTTGCTTATACGCTGCTTTGCTGCTGGGCTAGTTGACGACCAATTATTGATCCAGCGTGGCTATTTGGACCTACTTGTAACGCATCTCCCGCTGCACTCAGAGGTACTTCAGAAACGTGCCAAGGCTGGCGATTTGGAGCTGCTTCTCCGCGCGGCTGTCGGGGTTACCGTTCGGAGGGATATGAGCTTGAACAGGCGGTTATGGTCATGGCTCCTGGGACCCGAGCCAGCGGCTTCGGCTGAGCATGAAGGCGCCCTCGACTCACCTACTTCGGCCACAACCCAGCCTCACTTCTTCTCCTCGAGAACAAATTACTTTGAAGAATATGGCTTGCAGCCTCTTACACGGGCCCTGCTGAGCATGGTCAAGTCGGAAGCTGGGAATAACCCGAGCGAGAGGGCACGGCCATACCGGATATGCCTCTCCCTGATGGATCGATGGGAGATTGGCGGCTTGGTTGTTCCTGAAGTCTTCATGTCCATTGTGGACAGCGTCAAGCGGTTCAAGGAGAAAGCAGCTACAAAGACGGACTTCACCGAGGTCCTGAGAAGCGCCAGTGTCTTCTTTGATGGTGTCGAGAGCGGCCTGATTTACAGCGAAATGCTGTCGCTCATGGTCCAAGCCATCAGTCCCGGAGACCTTTCGGCTGCCGATCGACGTGCAAAGTTGGACCTCGTCAAATTCATTCTGGCCCATTTTAACGTCAGAGAGGAGGAGATGATCACCATCCACGCGCCTCTCACCGTCCTGGCCATCTTGGGCATGATAGAGGAAGCCAAAGAAAAGAACAGGAGCACATACGAACAGGCCTTGGAAATTGCGGCAAGCTTGCTTGATCTGGTTCCCGAGCGGGCGTTTTTCATGGACTCGGGGAACAAGTCCAACCCGGCCATCGAGTCCAAAGTCCTCGCTGCCACCCCTAATCTGGAACTCCTACAAAAGATCAAGACTTTTTATGTCACCGACCAGGGCAACCTCGAAGCGAGCCAGCCTCCTTACGTTTCCCACAACGTGGCAGAGCTCCTCTTGCAAAAAGCATGCGACCTCGTGTGTGAGGGCCTCGGCCAGACCGAGTCGGGGGCGAACGTGGCCATCAAAACCCGGGTGTTCATGCTGGTATTATCTAAAGCACCTACAAACCTGCTTCTTGACACCAAGAAACTGCTCGCCGCTCTACATGACTGCCTGTCTGTCGAGACGACAGTGGCCTTTACCACATATTCTTCCGTGATCTCGCTATCATCGCATCTTTATACTCTAGGTCGCATCTCGCCCGACGACCTCTCGGGCCTCGTCGTGCCTCTGGTGCGACACGCCTGGAGCTTCCTGGCAGCATCTGAGCCGAAATACCACGTCGAGACGGTTCGCAGCCTGTGGTTGCTGCAGACTGCTCTGACGCCCCTGAACCGAGAAATCGAAGCAGCTATTTGCTCGCTCATGCTTGAGCATGATATTTCTGGCACGTATGCCCAACGGTCGGCGGATCCTGGCCGCAGTTTCTGTGTGCTCTGGTCTCATAGTCTTCAGGACAATCCTTCCGGGGTGGATCGAAGGGCGCCGAAGACGCCAAATGGCGAGAAGATTCCCCGGCTGGGGGGCATGGACAACTATGAGGTCATGCTCACGAGGCCGTTGTTTCTGATGCTGGATTCTCTTGCGGATGAGAGGACGCAGCTTTTTATGACGGTGAAGACGTGGCTCAATACTCTTATTGGGATGGACAAGTAAGTCAGCTCTGTCCTCAGGTATGGAACAAGACTGACGAATTATTATTAGGTTGTTGGGCATCTTTGTCTCCAAATTTGCAGAACTTCCATTCCTCAGGCGACAGCACGCGGATCCTCAAGATGTTCATTTCACTAATGAAGATGATCTGGACTTGGGGCTGTATTATGTTCGTTCTCTATCAAGTGTCTTGCGGTGGGCACCCGACGCTGCCTGGGGAGTTCTCTCCAAGAGGACAATCAGGTCCAGCCAACCGGTTGCTGAAATAGGTAAGCCCTGATACCAACAGGTTGACGCTCGAAGTCTTTTTTCTAATTGCGTACAGCTGGCACGGAGGAGGACGTGACACTGCAGGAGTTTTTCCTACACGTCTGTCTTCAATGCATGGCGTGCGACGAGATTCCAGGAGACCAGCTGTCCAAGGTCAGGATCGCGCAATTGTACCGCGCCGCCCTGACGGTCCTGCATCAAATCCTCCTCAACCCCTTCGCGGGCCCTCTTTCCAAGCTCAAGCTGGAGCACCTTCTCATCGACAAGCTCTCCAAATCGCTCACGGGACCCGACCCCTACGTCCAAGTTCTCCTGCTCGACGTCGTCTTTGCCGCCCTCAAGCTCCGCGAGCTTGTTCCCGTCGAGCTTCCCACATCCCCCGTTGCCGAAAAGCAGTTGTCACCGACCGGCGAGAGAAGCAAGAGCTTCAGAATATCGGTTGCAAACGAAAGACCACAGGCCCAGCTGCCACCGCCACCGCCGACGTTGCTTCGATGCATCCTGGCCGGCCTCGGCTCACCAAGCAGCCGTCCCGTGCTCGACAGCTGGGTCAGTTTCCTCAGTGAGTGCCTGCCTCTGTACGCCGACTCCATCTTTCAGGTCTTGATACCCCTGGTGGAGACGCTCTGCAGCCAAATCAGCAGCACCTTTAGCAATCTTCAACACCTCTTCCGGACACCCGACCAGGCGCCGTCGCAAGCGCCAGGTGCTCCCGAGACCACGCTTATCTCTCTCCTCAACGGTCTTGAGCAGGTTCTGGCCAACGGACACGACAGGCTGCTGGCTGAAGAGGCCAGAGCACAGGTTGTCAAGAGCCCGGAACAGCCTCAGGGCTTCTTTGGGAACATGGGTCTGAGCGTTTTCTCCAATGACGCCCCGCAGTCGCGCAGCGTGACGGCAAACGACAGGCTTACCGTTTTGCTTGCCTTTCAGGATGCCGTCCGCATCTGCTTTGCGATCTGGTCGTGGGGTCAGGGGAGCGACGCGGCGAGGCAGGACAGCACCTCTGCTGCCTCGTTTGGGTTCACCTCGCTGCGTATGAGGAACCGGGCGCGGAGGTTGCTAGAACATCTCTTTGCTGCCGAGACGCTCGAGTGTTTGGAAACCGTGATTGGGATATGGAAGGACGCTCTCGACAGCCCGGATCAGTCGAGCCATGTAGAGGTTTTTAATCTCCTGCCTGCGCTGGATGGGTCAAGACCGAAGCACACCGTTCCGGCGTTGTTTAATGCCATCTACAGCAGGACCAACCCCGGGGCGCTGGATCCGTCGAGGAGGTCGACGCTGACGATTGAGCTGCAGGATACGGATGTGGTGATCTTCCTGGTGGACTACACGCGGTCGTTGGAGGACGACACGATGGATGAGATTTGGGGGGACTGCACGGCCTTTTTGAAGGATTTGCTTGGGAACCCGTTTCCGCACAGGCAGACGCTGCCGAGCTTGCTCGAGTTTGCGGCTGTGCTGGGGGAGAAGGTGGATAATACCAATTTTGGGGAGCAGAGGAAGATGAGGAGGGAGCTGGCCGATCTTTTTCTCAGGTTGCTCACGGCTATTTTCACGACGAGGCCGACGAGCTTCACGGAGAGCAGCGGCACGGTTTCTCTTTCCGGCGCGGTGTCGGAGAAGCGGGCGAGCGAGTCGTTGTCGTTGCCGTTGTCGTTGTCGACGGTGAATAGGCTTCCCGGAGACCGGGCGGATGACGTGGTGGGGATACTGGCGGGGATTGTGCCGAACCTGGCCAAGATTCTGGTTGAGAATGATCGGATTCTGCAGGCGGCGAACGCGATCAGCGCGAATGTCATTGGGCCGACGCTGAGGTCGAAGGCGTTTCCTGATACTGTTTCGGGGAGCACGCTTGTTTTGCTGCACGAGTTGGCGAGGTTGCCGAATAATCAGAAGGGGTGGAAGAAGGATGTTGCGGATGCGTTTAATGACTCGAGGTTTTTTGGGTCGAATCTGGGACTGGTGCAGAGCGGGTGGTTGCCGCTTTTGAGCCAGTGGGCTGTCGCGGATAAGGAGCGGATGCCGGAGGTTTTGTCACGGATCACGCCGCCGACGACGGCGGGGATTGTTTTCGGGGTTGGGGCGACGTCTGCGAGGTTGGAGGCGGACAGGAAGACTCAGCTGAACCTTCGGAGGGTGGCTGCTCTTATTTTGGCGTGTCCGTACGATGCGTTTGCTGCTGAGTTGGGGCCTGTGCTGGAGAAGTTGGTGGAGTTGCTTGGTGCGACGTCTACGTCGTCGCCTTCGTCGACGACGAGGGCGGAGGTGTACATGGTTTTTCGGGCGTTGGTGCTCAGGATTAGTCCGGTGCACCTGGCGGGCATGTGGCCTGTTATCAACGCCGAGCTGCACCAGGCCATCTCTTCGGTTGTGGCGCCGGATCACTCCCCGCTGGCGGACACGTACAACAATGCTAGTGTCCTACAGGCGTGCAAGCTTTTGGATCTGTTTGTTTGTCTGGCGCCGGATGACTTTCAGCTGCATGAGTGGCTTTTTGTGACGGATACGATTGATGCGGTGTACCGCCCGGCTGGGGGGTATAAGCCGGTGGCCTTGGTTGATGAGGTGAGTGAGGAATTAGGGGCGTCTGGGGGGGCAGCGGCGGCGGCGACGGGAGTGGTGGAGGAGATAGGGGGGGTTGGGTCGGGAGGGGGGGTGAGGAGGCCGCTGTTGGGAGGAGTGATTAGTTGTGATGATGGGAGTTTGTTGGAGAGGAGGGATGAATTGGTAGCTAGGGTGTTGAGGCCGTTTTTTGGCCAGCTGAGCATTTGGGCTTTTGAGAGCAGGTATGCTATGGGAAGGGTGGAGGTGGGAGGGTTGGAGGGGGGGTTGGTGAGGGATGTTTTTTGGGAGGGGAGTGTGGTCAGGGCCTTGTAGGGGTGACGTTGTGTGGTAGTGTATGGTAGAGGAAAGCTTCGGAAAGCTGAAAATGTTGTATGATGTTGGAGAGAATGCCGGTCCCGATTAGGAAGGATGTTTTGATTTACTTGGGACGTCGAGTTCATCGCCAAGTCTGATGCTTGGCGGGACTATCGTGTTATCTGGGGGTTTATCGTGGAGTGAGGGGCTGAAGGAGAGGGGCTCAGCTACGGTATTGTTGAACAGTTCACAATGACACACTTCAGTGTCTCTACATCAACATAAAAACTTGTTTCTCATATCTGATCCGTAATGATTTTTTTTCCCGGAAAAAGATCAAGCGAGTTTGCCTGTCTGGTCCAGTAATAAAGGTGTCCACTGCGTTGAGAGGGTATCAAACCAATCAACAAGACACGGACCGTAAAGCCCCTTGAGGCTCGTTCCGGAACGGCGGCTCAACGGCCAGTTCCCACTGACACCCTCCCCACTCAGAAGCGAACTCGATGTTGAAGAGTGGCCAAATGCCGTGTTGGATGTATCGAGCTGTGCGGCAGGGAGCGGTTGGTAGATCTGTCCTCGCCCGTTTCAGGCGGGCTTCAATGGGATCAGGGAGTGTAACAGGGCGTATGCCATATAGGGTGAGGATTCGCGGAGATATCTGTCCTCGGATCCCCATGGAGAGTGAGCAGCGAAACGGTCGGGAGAAATATGCTCCCGGGGGCTTATCAAGCATTTGATTCGGGATCTGCTTCCGTCTGATACAGAGTTAACGGCGCCGGCTAAGACGGAGCGGCGGCCTGTTTCAATGGGATTCGTGGCAACTTCTTCACGAGGTGCCGCCGTTGGATGCCAAAGTGCGAAGGCAACAGCATTTTTGCCAATGGGGGCAGGGGACGGGAAGGGCGGGCGAGGGGCAAATGGACCCTGAGCATGAGGCATCTGGTTGTCTGTCTGTCTTCTGTGTGGGGTAGTAGACCAACCACCTGCTTGGCGTACCTGTTACGGGATATGGGACTACAACCAACTGTTACGCTGGATATTGGGAGTGATCGTCCTGCATTTAGGTAGGTAGGGTGGGTTGGTTTCCTTATCGCTGAAGAGTCGCATGCTGATTTGCAGAATTGTTAGCGAGGAAGTTTTGTGGAAGTGTCAGCTCTTTGTTTGAACAATCTGAAAACTGTCTTCATCTGATTCAGACTTCGGCATAGCGGAGACCCTAGGCTCTCGAGGTTACAGTTGCTCCCCCTCGTGTATAAGCGCTACAGCATCACAAGGCTCTATTTTGTGGAGAAGTGCCCCCCGACGGTTGGCGAGGCATTGATCAATTCAGCCCTGGTTAATGGGCCCCACCTTTTCCCCATTGGGGACCAAGGCGGCGAATGGCGGGGGCCAAGGTTGCCGGAGCTTGCAGCTGTCCGTGGAAAAGACACCTGTTCTCTGGAGCAACGACCCCAGGAGCAATCGAACAGCCTCCGAGATACAAGAAGCCGGCCTCCATTCACTTCAGAGCCCTCTGGGAGATACTTCTCTTTTGCTCCAAGCAATTCACTCCCTCCAGAGAGCCCTTCCCCTTCCCCACATATACCTTATTCCGCCGGTATCTTTCTGTATAGGGTCTCTGTCCATTCAAACGCCAGCTGATAACCCCCCACCTGTCCTCTTCTGCCTTTAAATAGTCCAGAGTAAGATCTCTTCCTTCTCCAACCGTGTCACCGCCACTCTTTTTCCCGCAGCCGACTGACCTGTCCTCCCCTCTCCTCCGCAGAACACCACACAGGACATCCACACAACACATCACAATGCAGAAGGTTCACAGAATCGCCCTCGGCCTCCTCGCCGCCGCGGCCATCGCCACTGCTTCCGACGTTGTCCAGCTCAAGAAGGACACCTTCGACGACTTTGTCAAGGCCAACGACCTCGTCCTTGCTGAGTGTAAGTGTCAATGGCCTCTGTCCGTATTCTAGAGGAAAACCAGCTGACCTCCCCCGTCCTGCAGTCTTCGCCCCGTGGTGCGGCCACTGCAAGGCCCTCGCCCCAGAGTACGAGGAGGCTGCCACGACGCTGAAGGAGAAGAACATCAAGCTCGCCAAGATCGACTGCACAGAAGAGACGGAGCTCTGCCAACAACACGGCGTTGAGGGTTACCCCACCCTCAAGGTCTTCCGCGGCCTCGACAATGTCGGCCCCTACAAGGGTCAGCGCAAGGCTGGTGCCATCACCTCCTACATGATCAAGCAGTCCCTCCCCGCTGTGTCCGACGTCACCAAGGACACTCTGGAGGAGTTCAAGAAGGCCGACAAGGTCGTCATCGTCGCCTACGTCGACGCCGCCGACAAGGCCTCCAGCGAGGCTTTCTCTGCCGTCGCTGAGAAGCTCCGCGACGACTACCCCTTCGGTGTCAGCACCGATGCCGCTCTCGCCGAGGCTGAGGGCGTCAAGGCCCCCGCCGTCGTTGTCTACAAGGACTTTGACGAGGGCAAGTCCGTCTTCACCGAGAGGTTCGAGGCTGAGGCCATCCAGAAGTTCGCCAAGACGGCCGCCACTCCCCTCATCGGCGAGATCGGCCCCGAGACCTACTCCGACTACATGTCGGCCGGCCTTCCCCTTGCCTACATCTTCGCCGAGACGGCCGAGGAGCGCAAGGAGATCAGCGAGAAGCTCAAGCCCATCGCCGAGGCCCAGCGTGGTGTTGTCAACTTTGGCACCATCGACGCCAAGGCCTATGGTGCCCACGCTGGCAACCTCAACCTCAAGACCGACAAGTTCCCCGCCTTCGCCATCCAGGAGACGGCCAAGAACCAGAAGTTCCCCTTCGACCAGGAGAAGGAGATCACCCTCGAGGCCATCAAGACTTTCGTCGACGACTTTGTCGCCGGCAAGGTCGAGCCTAGCATCAAGTCTGAGCCCATCCCCGAGAAGCAGGAGGGCCCCGTCACGGTTGTTGTTGCCAAGAGCTACAACGACATTGTCCTTGACGACACCAAGGATGTCCTGATCGAGTTCTACGCCCCGTGGTGCGGTCACTGCAAGTCCCTTGCTCCCAAGTACGACGAGCTCGCCAGCCTCTACGCCAAGAGCGAGTTCAAGGACAAGGTTGTCATTGCCAAGGTTGATGCCACTGCCAACGACGTTCCCGATGAGATTCAGGGCTTCCCCACCATCAAGCTCTACCCCGCCGGCGCCAAGAACGAGCCCGTCACCTACTCTGGCTCCCGCACCGTTGATGACCTTATCAAGTTCGTTGCCGAGAACGGCAAGTACAAGGCTTCCGTCTCTGAGGAGGCTGAGGAGCCATCAGCTGCGCCCGCCGCTTCTGAGGAGGCCAGCTCTGCCGAGCCCGCGGCCGAGACCAAGGAGGCTGCCAAGGAGGCCGACCACGACGAGCTCTAGAAGAGGAGCGGATTCTTGTATTTTAAGCATTTCTTACGGGGTTATCAGGGACAATGGGTGGAATGACACGCCTGGGATTTTCTGGGGACTGGGAGCAACCAAAATACCTATACCTTTGTGCATCTGGTTAATGAAATTGAAGTTATGATGAATACATGGTTTTTTCTTTCTTTTTTTCCTTTCTCGCTGAACCATGATGATGATGATTATGATTATAATGATGATGGTGATGATGTTGCCACCCCCTTGTTTGTCTCTCTCGTCTCTGTATCATCAGGGCCACGTTCAGTCGTTTCTGGTCAAATAATAAAGTAAAATTGTGCCGTTCCTGACCGCCTGACGAGATCCCGGAATGTGGGGTCATGATTGGCCGACCTTGCATGTCCCGCATGCCAGACCCCGGCCGGTCCAGATTCCCCCATCCCAAGTTTGGTCTCACTGACACCTCAGCCTGACCCGACTATTCCGCCGGCTACCGTACCGCCACGTTCCTGCGCCCTCCCTGCCTGGAAGTTTTTATTACTTTTTGGCTTATTAGCCCCTGGGGAATTTTTCTCTCTCTCTCTCTCTCTTTTTGCTTCTGCAGACACAAACCCCCTCTAACAGTCACAGTCTACCTACTACTATCCCGAACGAAACGAACGAACGAACGAACGAACGAACGACGCACGATGGCCACCACCTCTAGGATTTTGACCCGAGCTTTGCCTGCTCTGCGCATGATGAGCACGACGGCTGTCAGGAGGGACGCGGCCGTTGCCGGGGCGGTTCCCCTGCCCGCGAGGAAGCCCGTTGGGGCGTTGAGAGGAGGGTGAGTTTTTAATTCCTGGGGGAGGGGTGAAGGGGGATGGGGGATGTGGGCTAATGATGGTGATGGACAGGCTCTTTGGCTTCTTCTTCGGCAGCACCTTGGCCGGCGCGGGCGTGTACTATTACGCCGTGCAGGAGTACAAGGCTTCGAACGAGCTGCTGACTGAGGATATTTACGTGCGTGTTTGCATTTGATTCTTCTGCACTCTTTGTTTTGAACTTTTTCGAATTTTTATTTTTTTGAATATTTTGGACTGCTGGAGGGGGTTTTTCCAACAGTTTTGATACACGACTTTACACCGGGAGAGAACACCAAAACAAAAAAAAAAAAAAAACAAAAAGAAAGACTAGATTTCTAGACTTTGCTTTTTCTAGATGGAGTGATAGAAGGAGAGGAGTGATTGGGCATTTTTGACTGACGACTGGGGACAGACTCTGCAGCGTTCGGTGGAGAGGTTGAGCGAGTATATCACTGCGATGGAGCAAAAGATGGAGTTGTTGGAGAAGAAAAAGAGGTAAAAAAAAGGGGGGTATGGGAAAAGTTTTGGCGCTGGGAGGGAAAATAGGGGGGATACATGCAATGGATTTTTGGGAGGAAGAGAAGGGGGGAGGAGGATTAATCGGGAGGGAATCTGTTTTTTTGGAAGGATGAACGAGCAAGCAAGCAAGCAAAGCAAGAACTATTACATCGGAAAAGAATGCTACTGATGGATGGTTGGAGGCGCAATATCAAGTTTTGAGGTTTTGATTTGGGTGTGAACATGTGAAGGGATGTGTATGTGTATACTGGTGGGGTGGTTTGATATTCTGCATGATGCAGCTAGATCCCCTATCAATCCAAAAGTGATGAGAATCAGTGACACGACTTGTCTGATGTTTTGGCAAGACGTGAGGTGAGACGTTGGGAGTTTAACATGTGTTTGTCGTCATTAGTGGGTTAGTCTTGCCTAGCCAGCAAGGTTCCCCAGCCGGACTGCTTGGGGCTGGGTCCGGGATTGATTTTCCTTCTTGAACCACCCCCCTACACCTACCCGGCCAAAAAACTTCCCGCGACACGGTTTGCGCGTCGACCTCCTCCCGCAACTGCCCACCACCATCACCACCACCTCCTCCAAAATGAACAACTTTGGCGTCATAGAAGTAGCCTCGACAGCAACAAAAACCACCCCCGGCTGGGCCTACGTCCCCGACACCGGCCCCTCCCTGTCAGCCACCGCCCTCCAGCCAAAGAACCGCAAACGAGCCGCGCGGAATACCCAGCCTGGGCTAAGCTTGTCCGACTTGACAGCTCGACAAGAAAACAAGCTGAGGAAAGATCTCGAGGCGCTGAATCGAGACAATCAGAGGGACGTGAACATTCCTGTTCCGAGTAGCAGTAGATCGTGTACCTTGGACCCCCCCCTCCCTTCCTTTTCCCTTCCCCTAGAAGAGTGGCGGTAGTCTAATGTTTTGGGTTGGGTTGGGTTGGGCGGAAATTTAGCACACAAACACACCCCCACCGTCCGAAAAATCCTCC